CATTCCTGCCCCAAAATAGCCCTGAGTCTAAGGGAGAGTGACAGGCCCAAAGTTATGCAGTGAGTTTCACGTCTGAGTCGGCATGTGAACCTAGTCTCCCCCTTCTAATGCGTGATTCCTTTTTTCTCACTTTTCAGCAAACAGATCTGGGGATGGAGCACATCCTGTTATTTATCACAGGATTTGGTGTGAACTAGGGGTGCACATTTGGATATTCCCCATCTGAAATAGTGCCCAAAATTCCCTGTTTGATTACAGGCTGGGTATTTCTTATCCAAAATTAAACAAGGAATTTCAGGCACTGTTTTGTACTGGAAATATTCAGATACACATCCCTAGTGTGAACTGCACGGGGGGGGGGGGGCAGGGAAACATACCTTGTTAGAAACCCACCCTGATATATTGAGGACACTTCAGAGGTTTCAGGTTAAACACCAGAGACTAACAATAAGTTTTTTTCTTTATGTAACAGAATATATATCGCAGTCCGATTGGCAACAGTAAAATCAGAGAAACAAATCTCATCATGATTGGGGCGCTCATCAGAAAGCTGTGCGAGAGAGGAGGCTGCAAACTACCTGTATGTATTATTTCCTACTAACAGGGTCCTAGGTGTGGAAATCAGGAGTAGATCCATTTAGATATGAAGATCTATGCAAGCTGTCTTCTTTGTCCTTTTTGCCCACTGCTGTCTTGCTGCCTCCTTTCATGCTGCTTCTTAACTTAACAGTACCAGTGTAGATTGTGTGTAGATTGTGTGACCCATGGGGCAAAGAATGTGTGTCATTTCTTAATATACTGCTGGCACTAAAATAGCAGTAGCATCAGGATTTGCTCTCATGTCACAAAACAGCTGTCAAGTGCCCATTATTTTTTTTAAAAATGGATCCACTTGATGTTTTGTTCTTATCTCATAGGTGGGTGCTTGATTGCCAGCCAGTTTCACATTCATAATAATAGCTCACAACACTAGAGTATATTACTAGATTTATCAGCCCTAATGAGGAAAGCATAGTATTTATTTATACATGCTGTGATTCTTGTATTTCTTCAATCCCAGCTCATATAGTCATAATTTTTGGTGATCCTACCTCATAATGAGATAATGTGCTATGTGTAGTAGTCCTGAGATGTGTAGTCACCATTTTATGCTAATAGGGGAACACACATATTTTCCAGCTTCAGTACACATGAATCCATAACCTCAAAAATCGGTTTCCGTTGTGTGTACCAAGCCTGGAAAATGTGCTTGTTACCTGTTCACACAAAATGACATCCCAGCATATCAAGAGGACCACACATTGCATGATCTCCCTTTATGTGCAGTTGGAGTGCCAGAATGATAATGGCTAAAGGGCTGAAGTGTGTCCTCAGAGCCACGCGTGGATTCCTTTTTAATTTGAAAATTTTCTAGAAAATCGTGGCATTTTCTTTCCAGGCTGTTGTGGAAGCCAAGAAGCTGATCTTGGGAGGCCTGAGCAGGCCTGAGAAGGCGCTTGATGTGAAGACTTACCTGATAGCACTGAAAAATGCCCTCCTGCCTGAAGCGATCCCATTGCTTTTGAAATATGCTGAGTCAGGAGAAGGACCTGTCAGCCATGTTGCTGCTAGTGCCCTGCAGAGATACGACCCTGCTTTCATCACCAATGAGGTAAAAAAAAAATCCCCTTATGGAAAAGAGAATGCAAGAAAACCTTTCAAAAGTAAAGTGACACTCCCCCCCCTTTATTTAAATAAGTCTTTAAACATTATTTCATTATACCCTGTTTTTATCCCTTCCTATGTTTCCAAAGCCAGAAGGGTCTTTATAACAGTTGTAAAAGCACCACAAAGAGTTTCCAGAAAGTCTTGGTGATAGGCACTTTGGGCAAGATAACACCAGGGCCTCACTGTTCCCCTGGGCCCTCTTTTACCCCCGGTCAAACATGTTCTCCTCTTCACACCTTGTTGGGCTGCCTGATTTCAGACATCAAAACTCAATGCACTTTGATCCAATCTATTTGATTTTATTTATGGTCCACCTTTCTTGCTGAGAATCCTTGCTGAAGTGACAACGTTCTATAATGTGATTGCACAGCGTAAAACAATCTGTTAAACAATGCAATAGTTTGGTTTATAAACTGTACTTTAACGTGATGCACGAATATAGACTCATTCTTCCTCCTACATTTCCAGGCTAGATAGCTATCTGTATGAATTCCAACCAGTTTCTTTCATTGAAAAAGCCACTGGTTAGTCAGAAGTTATCTCTGGCTATGTGTGATCTCCAAGCTGCAATAGAATTGAAGAAGCTTGCTTGCTGGTGACAGGTCTCAGCCAAGAATACTGAGAACTTTGAAATGAAAATGATTGACGTTTGTGATTGAGCTATTTATACAAGTTGAGATCCTCGCTGGATCCCCTCAATGTTTTGTTTAAAGTTTGAACTGAATGGCATATCAAGCAGCTTTGCACATGCACATATAGGAAACTAATCATATGATGAGAGTCATGTAGTTGCCTAGGAAACTATGCAGTTCCTCTTAAAAATAACTACTGTGAGACAGTGGGAGAATGCACATGTGTGAAATATCCCAAATCTTAACAGTTCACTGTCCTTTTTGTTTAAAAACCCAGGGTAATGCAATCAGGATGAGCTAAGAATATAAGCCATGCAGCTTTGAGATAGCTCTTTTTGTTAGTGGAACAATCTTTTTATCATGTTAACCTGAGAGAGGCTGGGGCAGGGGACACTACAATTCCCATGAGGCAGGCCACAAACATAAAGTCCTATGCGGCCAGGGGCCAGCATACTTTCAAGACTGCCTCTCCCCATAAGAGCCCCATAGGGCACTGAGGTCCACAAATCAACATCTCTTGGTGGTCCCCAGCTCCAGGGATGTTCAATTTGCCTCAACCAGGCCCAGGGCTTTTTCAGCCCTGGCCCTCACCTGGTGGAATGAGCTCCCGTACAAGATCAGGACCCTGTGGGGTTGACTGCAGTTCTGCAGGGCCTGCAAGATGGAGCTCTTCCACCGGGCATTTGGTTGGGAAGAAGAAGAAGAGATTGGATTTATACCCCACCCTTCACTACCTGAAGGAGTCTCAGAGCGGCTTACAATCTCCTTTCCCTTCCCCTCCCTGCAACAGACACCCTGTGAGGTAGGTGGGACTGAGAGAGCTCTGACAGAAACTGCTCTTTTTCAAGAACAGCTCTTATGGCTTGCCCAAGGTCACCCAGGCAGGTGCAAGTGGAGGAGTGGGGAATCAAACCCGGTTCTCCCAGATTAGAGTCTGCACTCCAAACCACTACACCAAACCTTCCCCAGCTTTTGGCCAATCATCCACTAGTGGCCTGGATCTGATTAGAAATCTGATTTGACACCTGGATTTGATTTGACATCTGATCTCTCCGTTTTAACACGGTATTTTATGATTTTATTCTGTGTAACCTGTCATTCTAACGTCATTTTAATTGTATTATAGTAATTGATGTAAACTGCCCTGAGCCCGTTTACAGGGAGGGTGGTATATAAATCAAATAAATAAATAATACATAATAAATATATAACACAATTCATCCAAATGTAGGCAGTTCAGCTGCCTGTCTTTAATACTGATTAATGCTGAGTCAAGACAGTCACAAGATCGCTTATAGAGGCACCGCAAATCTGTAAGTCATTGTGAAAATACACTTTAGAAAAAATAAAATAAAATGTGGCAAACTGCAGTTAAGAAGCCGGGAGGGAGATGGCAGCCAGAGGGGAACCTGCAGGAAAGCACTGTGAGATTGCACATTTGCAACCATTTTTGGCACAACTGAATATTGCCAGACTGTTCAATGTTCAACTGTGACATCATTTGAACTGGTAGGTGATAGGATTGTCAGATCTGGGTTGGGAAATACCTGGAGACTTTGGGGGTGGAGCCAGGGGAGGGTGGGGTTTGGGGAGGGGAAAGGAGGGACCTCAGCAGGGTAGAATGCCACAGAGTCCACCCTCCAAAATAGCTATTTTCTCCAGGGGAACTGATCTTGGCTGTCTGAAGATCAATTGTAATAGCTGGAGATAGTGATAAAATATTCCCGGTCCCAGCACAATATAGTGGATTATTACACTGTATTTGAGCCTAAGTATAGCATGAGAAGTCAGTGGCCTGCTTGTTTTAATTAATTGAGAATAATAGTTTCCTTGCCTCCACTCTTTCACCTGTGAATCCATTCTATTGCTGACCAAGCTGTATCCAAACTAGGTGAGGAAAGTACTGAACAGGATTTATCACCAGAATCGGAAAGTACATGAGAAGAGTATACGCATCACAGCAGCTGCCATCATCCTCAGCAGCAATCCTTCTGACATGGAAGTAAAAAATCTCCTCCTCTCCATTGGAGACTTGCCACTGGAAATGAATAAGTATATGCTCTCACTAGTCCAAGACATTCTACGTTTCGAAATGCCTGCCAGGTATATCAAATTTAATTTGAATATTGAATAGTCTTTTCCAGTGTCTGTATCGGGGGGGGGGAGGGGAGTTATACATATTTATTACCATTCTATAAGATCGGCAGTTCAGAACTTTTTAGGAGAGGTGAGTCCACTCTACTGTAATTGGTTGGGCTGGGGGAGGAAAGTAAAGGTCTTTTAAGTGATTATTATTTATGAAGTATGCTGGCTGGTTTTGAATAATACTTGATTTTTTATCAGTAGAAAAGAGTAAGAGTCCAGTAGCACCTTAAAGACTAACAAAATTTGTGGTAGGGTATGAACTTTCGTGAGTCACTGCTCACTTACTGGACTCTTACTCTTTTCACCAGTTTGGTGTAGTGGTTAAGTGTGCGGACTCTAATCTGGGAGAACCGGGTTTGATTCCCCACTCCTCCACTTGCACCTGCTGATGTGACCTTGGGTCAGTCACAAGCTCTGGCACAGCTGTTCTTGAAAAAGAACAGTTTCTGTCAAGAGCTCTCTCAGCCCCACCCACCTCACAGGGTGTCTGTTGTGGGGAGGGGAAGGGAAAGGAGTTTGTAAGCCGCTCTGAGACACCTTTGGATAGTGAAGGGCGGGGTATAAATCCAATGTCTTCTTCTCTTCTTCTTCTTCTACTGCTACAGGCAGACTAACATGGCTACCCATCTTGATTTGTTATGTTATCTTGTTTTTTAATTGTTTCATTTTTGTTCATCTTCATGGGGGACCATGCATGCACTTGCCCGGCATAGAGATGAAAGTTCCAAAGCTTTCCAGTACTTTCTGTAGTGCGAGGAGCATTCACTTGCTCCTTCTGGCATGTGACCGAGGGTGGGGGAGGATTCCTTCTCCATCCTTCTTTTGTCACAGTGAAGAAATTCTTGTTCTGTGTGCTTCGCTTTCCTCAGTCAACAACCTCTTGAGTTCTTCATCAGATCTTAATTCTCTGTATTTGGAGATTGTATCGGAGATTTTTCCTTCCTCTCAGGACGACTTTGTTTAAAAAAAATGTATTAAGTGTAGAACCAAGATGGCCCAGACTGACCACTATAGCCTGTGGGTGCCTGTGCTGTTTGTAAGCAGGTTACACTCAAAGCATGCAGTGAGAAGGCTTCCCATTAAAAGGCAGCTCTGTGGGAGAAGGCTTCATTGGTGCAGAAAGTCCTTCCTCTAAGCACCACTCAGATCCTGAAAACAGGGCCATGCACCTTCAATAGTACCATCATCTCTGTTGTCAGATCTGCCCGCTTGTTCCTTATGCAGCATCAGTTCTGAGGAGCTCATTGGAGCTGCCTCCAAAGGAATCTAAGCCCAAGTCAAAGCATAGGTCTAGAAACTTTTCTCAGCCACTGGCTTTGACCTTGACAATCACTCAGCTGGGTACTGCCAGAACCATTGCAAGTACTCAGGAGGACAGACTGCCTCCTCGCCTCCGTATAGGTAGCATTATCTGCTGCCACTTTATTGCAGCAGTTTGATCTTGTGCTAAATACCATCCAGAGACTGGGATTGTTGGTAAATTAGGATAAATCCAATTTGCATCCAACCCAGTCTTTCCAATGTATAGCGGCTGTCCTCGATTCCTAGGTAGCTCATTCCTTCCTTCCAACAGATACAACATATGCTTTTCAGAAGGTAGGTGGGGCTGTGACAGCTCCTTGGCCTTGGGCCAGTGGGGTCCTGCAAGGTTCCATCTTGTTGCTTATGCTCTTTAACATCTACATGAAACCACTGGGTGAGGTTATCTGGTGATCTGGGCTGGGTTGTCACCAATATGCAGATGGCATTCAGCCCTATCACGTGCTTCCAGCTGATCCCAGGGAGGCTGTAGAAACCCCGAGCCAGTGCCTGGAGGCAGTTTTGGAGCGGGTGCAGGCTAATAAATAGAAGCTTAATCCCAACATAATGGAAGTAGTGCTGGTGAGCAGGAGGTCTGATCCAGGATTTAAGATGTCACCCATTCTGGATGGGGTTGCTCTCCCCTTGAATTGACAGGTCCATGGTCTCGGAGTGCTCTTGGACCCAGGCCTACTGCTGGACAAGGTGGTAGCAGCTGTAGCCAGGAGTGCCTTTTACCAGTTTCAACTGGTTGCCAGCTGTGGCCTTTCCTGGGCAGAAAAGATCTTGCCACTGTGGTGCATGCCCTGGTTACATCTAGAGTAGATTACTGCAGTGCACTCTATGTGGAGCTGCCCTTGAGGTCTGTTTGGGAACTTCAATTGTTGAAGAATACTGCAGCTGTGATCTTGACTAGAGTGGGTAATAGGAACCATAGCATCCAGTCTCAACCCATCTGCACTGGCTTCCAATCAGTTTCCAGGCACAATTCAAGGTGCTGGTGCTGACCTTTAAAGTCCTATATGGTTTGAGACCAACATACCTGAAGGAACACCTATTGCCTTCTGAACCTATCTGACCACTATGGTCATCTTCAGAGTCCCCTTGGATGCTCCCACCTTCTGAGATTAGGCAGGGGGCAATTTGAGAGAGGGCCTTCACAGCCATGGACTCGTCTGTCCCCTCTTGCTGCCAACTTCTGCCAGCAGGTGAAGACTATTTGTTTCATTTGGCGTTCCCTCAGTGATCCATCCTTCCTGCCCAGTGTTTTACTGATTGTTTTTATGTTTTTGCATGTGTATTTTAGGTCTCATTTTCATTGTCTTAATGATGTATTTTTGTTGGTTTTAATGTTTTTAAGATGTGATTTTTATTATGTGTGTTTTAATTTATTAGCTGCCTTGGTGGCCCTGATGAGAGCAGAAAGACAGGCAATAAATTTTGTAAAATAAATATAATTAAAAGTAATTCACAACATTCCTCTAATATTTTCCTTCAGTGATCCTTATGCAATGATCAGAACTTCACTTAATTTTTTTCTGTGGGTAGCTTTACAAACCTATAGGCCTGTATAACACTGAAATTTTAATCTTATCATTTCAGTGGGATTTTGATAAAGCAATTGAATCACCCTGGGGAAAGGGAAAATTTCCCTTTCTATACATGCTGATGTTACTAATAGAAAACACGTTTCTGATTACTAAGGATAGCACCACTTTTCTGTATTTCAGCAAAATGATCCGCAGAGCTCTGAAGGATATATCCATTCATAACTATGACCGATTCTCAAGGATGGGTTCTTCCTCAGCCTTCTCTGGGTACCTAAACCGTATGTGACTAACAAACTATATAGTAGATTCATTGATATTTCTTGACATTCAGTGCTGCCGAAGAATCATTACAATATCTGCCTTTGCTTAATCAAGGTGGCGCAGACGTGACAACCTCATATGGATTTGACTTTCTCTACTCTGGTTCTGGCTTCATAAGGAAAAGTAACACAAATTTCTATGTTTTCAATGAATATGCTCAACTTCATGCCGTTCAGGTATGTACTACTAAAGCCATGAATAGGGCCTAATTCAACAGCTCTGAACTCAGCTTATAAGTGTAATACAGTGGACAGAGAGTTGCATTTGGACCACTCAAATCCCTGCTCAGCTGTGAAGCACTCAGGTGTGCTGGGCGTCAGTCATTTTCTCTCAGCCTAATCTACCGTATTTTTTGCTCTATAAGACGCACTTCCCCCCCCAAAAAAAAGTGGGGGGAAAGTGTGTGCGTCTTATGGAGCGAATAATGAAAAAAAAGAGCATTGTGGCCAGCGGGGTCCTTCTTGCTTTGCCGCCTGGGAGATCCGGCTCGAGGCTTCTCTCCCCACTGAACAGCAGCAGAAGAGGCACTTTTTCCTGTTTTCCTCCTCTAAAAACTAGGTGCGTCTTATGGTCAGCTGCGTCTTATGGAGCGAAAAATACGGTACTTCACAAGGTTGCCGTAAACACAACATTGGACAAAGAAGACTCCTGAATTTCTTGAAGGAAGGGTGGAATACAAATACAAAGAAGTTACAGTTAAAATATCTACAAACCTGTAAGAATATTTATAAGCCTGTTTCACTTCTGATTCAGGTCAAAATCAGGAAAGATTAGTTGGGCCTGAATCTTTGGAAATTCAAGGATGATTTGAGTGAAAGATTTTTATTTCATTCTGGAACATTTGGAAGATGCGGCAAGGAGGAGGAGCAATTGCTCCAAGCAATTAGGTGCCTGTTTGTCTCTTGCGCATACTGCTGTGCATACAGGCAGGTGTGAACCCAGACCGTTATTGGCTGCCATTTTAATTTGGCTGAATAAATCAAATTACATCTTGTCTATAGGCCCAAAAGGCCCCCTTCCTGTTTAATTTTAATGGAATTGTTTATTGCTGTGACTGTGCAGTTCCTTTTGGAAACTGTATGTTCAAAGAAAGATACTTTAAAATATGCGCATAGTTAAGTGATATAATCAGAAATCAGTCTGCAAGAAATAATCTGGATCAAAAAGTGCTGGTCTGAGGCCATGAATAATGAATTATGTTCTTTAATTATGCAGAAAAAAAGTATCTAAAATGCATGAATAAGATATGTGTATTTGGAAAGACTGGTATCCTACAGATGCTTTCATCAGAGATGCAGGATTAGCTGAAGCTTACTATGAAGGGTAAATGCAGTAACAGACCAGGGTTTGCAGCTCCCAAGTGTTCTTGAATGGCTGTGAGTAGCCAAGTAATAGAGGAGGACAAGAATGAAAAGGATTATGTATCTGAGCGCCCCATTTTATGTGGCTGATCCCATCCAGTTTCAGGTCATCTGAGCATCACTGGCATATACTTGGATGCTTCTCTGGTTCTCACTTAACTCAAGGTGCTGATTCCTCTTCCTCTGCACCCACCTCTTTCCCTGACTCTTTTGTTTTGTTGGTCAGTTTTAGATTGTAGCTTGAGAACAGGCTTTCATTTTACTTATCTGCTCTATGGCTCCTAGTAATTGAGGTGATTTTCAACTGGCAAGGTAACATGATGATAAAAAACAGTGCTGAAGAAAACAATGTAGTATTTTGTTCAGATGTCTTACAACATGAATTTTGCAAGTTAGGCATGCTCTGTTCTACATGTGACAGCACAATCCTAAGTAGGTCTGTTTGTAAGTTAGTCCCATTTTATATTTTGAGGTTTACTCCCAGGGGTTCTCACAAGATTACAGCCTGTGTGTGCATGGCACATCCGTTGTTCTTCAACAAAAATACTTGCAAGCAGTTGGCCAGCCTTAATCGTACCTACTGTGTACCACTGCCTTCTTTTAGGTGATGATTGAGGCTCAGGGTCTGGAATCCATTATAGCTGCAACTCCAGATGAAGGCGAAGAAGATCTGGAGTCCTTCTGTGGCGTGTCAGCAATCCTGTTTGATGTTCAACTTAGGCCTGTTACCATTTTCCATGGATATGGAGATTTAATGTCCAAAATGTTCTCTGTCTCTACTGACCCCATGCAAGTGTTGAAAGCACTCGTTCTTCTGATGGATTACTCACAGGTACGCTCAATATACTGAATGCTTCCATTGTCTCCAAGCACATGTAACATTCCCTATTCCTACCCCTGCTTAGCTCCCCCAAGGCAGCATCTTAGTATAGGAAGATCACAGGCAAGAACAGCCAGAATAGCATGAGTCTATTTTGTGTTCAGAACTATGGGGGTGGGAAGCATGATCAGGCTTCTAAGTACTGTAGAGCCTACGTGCATGGTGTTTCCAGGACCAGTCTTCCTGACTGCCTGACATACACTAAGCTCCAAAAATATTTTGCAGGATTCTTGGCTACTTGCCCCCAAAACTGTCAGCATGTAAATTCTGGTATCCATAACTTTGGCCTATCAGATAGTCATATGAATGATATCAGGTACCTACATAATGGTAAGCCCCTTCTCACCCAAATAAATGTGTATGCTTTAATGCAGAAACTGATAGTCTGAGATCTGGGTCAACACAATGGGCAGAGGGAAACTGTTTGAGCTTCGTTAGTCGCTGTTGTAGCAGCTCTGAATGCTAACTGGATTCCAAAAGAAATGAAGAGTTTAAAAGAACTTCTCTAGCTAGAAAAAACTGTAGATCATTTAACATTAACAGACCTAAACTGACGAAAAAGTCTACAGTGACCAACAGCAACTCTTCAAGATTTCAAGCCACAACCTTCCATAGCTCTGCAACTTGACATCCCAGCAGCTCAAAAATGAAGAGCTATAAATGTTTGAAATAAATAGCTGGAGCTGAATCTGAAAGCACTGAGGAATGGCTTTTTAAGGAGGAAGTCCCTCTTGCTCCTTGACATTGGGTGAGCATGAGATTTAAACCCAACAGCAATATGGCCATTGTGTCATAGCAACAACTGGTCTCTGAGTCTACATGAAAATGCTCACTGTTTATAATATAAAACGTACAGTGTTTTTCATTATACCTACTAGGAAAATGAAAAATAAGGACACACATACTTTTTTTTCTTGCCAAGTTGCAGCCGACTTGTGGTGACCCCATTGGGTTTTCAAGCCAAGATATTTTTAGAGATGGCTTATGATAACCAGGGTGGATCTCGGTACGGGTACCCCTAAATAAAATTATGAAGAAAGAGAATGAGAGTATCTCTCCTTATATATAATTGAATAGTGGGTGCCAAAGTTCTAATTCTAAAATGCACTCCCTTAGTGTATGGCTGATGGCACTGCTCCTCAGCATATATCGCCACCAATCAGAAGGCAAAGCCCAGGTCCCGCCCACACCACAACTGCTGCGACAACCTGGTCTTTTGCATATGGAAGCTGATTGGACTTCAGTCCATTCCACACCTCAAACCCCCCCCCCGCAAGGCAGTTGGGATTTTCAGTTGCATAACATACCTCATAGGGGAGAGGAGAATGGGTAACAATGGTTACCACTCTCCAGGTGAGGGCTACAGATAACTCAAACATACAAATGCTCTTCAGGTAGCAGAGATCAGTCCCTCTGGAGAAAACAGTGGACTCTGTCATTAAACCCTGCTGAGGCCGCCACAGGAAACTGACACTGTTTGCCCAAAGCCAGAGCACTCTCCCAGAGCCTCTTTCTAGATCTCGTTGTATTTATTTCTGCAACGGGCATTATTTCTAGTATAAAATAAAAAAGAATAAAAATGTAAAGAACATACACTAGACACCTGAGAACTGATTCCCTAAGCAATCACATACACACGTATGCGCGCACACATCAGCCAGAGGGCACACTTGTTAAAGGTAGGAGGGAGGAATCTGAGAAGTTACAGGGAAGTTACAGGGAACTTTAAATCTTGGGCTTGAGGACTGGAGAGTTCCAGGGGCAGGCAAAGCTGAGATCCAAGGAGCAGAGCAGGGAGGAAAAGGGGGGGGGAGCTTGCAGAGTGTAGCAGGGGTTCTCAAAAGGAAACCAGAGTTCTGACCAGCAGAGATCTGGACCAGGGATCTGAGAAACAATTTACTAGCACCTGGGGTCCTTTTATGAAAAGAAGATCTCCAAGGTAGGTGGGGTTTGGCCATCCTGGCTTTGGACTGAGTCAAGATAAAAAGGTTGAATCTCTTGAGTGCCCTTCTTTACTGAGTAAAAAAAAGAGAAACCGGGAATTGGTTAATAAAATAGTAAGTTCCTTCGCCTGGACAGACACCTCTGGGGTATATCAGGATATTGGGTGATGTCTCCAGTGTTGAAAAGTCTTTTATTATTGAGAATGATATTACCTTGAGCTGGGGGAGAGTGTATTTAATCAGTTTCTAATTCCAGCACATCCGTCCTCTTCTTCCCTGGGATTTTCCAATGTCATCTCAGGTGCCTTTGTGAGACTCCCCACATTTCAAATGTATTTATGTATTATTCAGATTTTATGTTTTGCAATTTTTTGCATTTTTAAAAACCCATTTATTTTTCAGCCTGAAAAAAAAGAAAATGAGACTGAAGCTTCCCTGACCCTGCCTGGGGTCATTTTGGAAACCCCATACACATCTTACATTTTTAAAATATCTCTCTTGAATTTTTTAAATTAAAAAATTTGTCAGAGGGGGCGATGCCCCCAAATGCCCCGCAGTTGCTATGGGCCTGGGTGCACCCCTGTCAGGTGACAACCCAAGAAAGGTTCTTCCTGAGGACATTAGTCTCTCTATCATTGCCATTTGCCATTGTTTTATTTGGTGTTCCCTCACTAACTCTTATTAGCCTGCTTCCCTTTTTGTGTGTTCTTAAGTGTTTTTGTGTTTATATTTTTTAGGTAGCTGTGTCTTTATAGTATGTTTTCGTTAAAGGTTTTAAATATTTTATGAATATTTGTATTTTAAATGCTTTTTAAAGTCTCAGATTTGTTAATGTGTTCCAGTAGTTGAAATGTTTTACTGTTTGCTGATTTGGGGACCTTCGGGTGGGTGGAAAGGCAGCACATAAAGGTTTTAAATAAATAAATGCTAAACAATAAATGTTACAAAGTGGATATTTTAAAAAGAAGACATGAAGTAAATCTCTTTGCTCAAAGGACTGCACACGTTACATGTAGTTCTGTCACAGTTTTGTTTAACTGCATCTGCAGTGGCTGAATTTTAAAAGGGGAGACCAGCATGGTGCAAGGGGGCTATTTAACTTTCTTCCTGCCAAGAATTGCTACCCCTGAGGTATCTGTAACCCTGTTGGGGAAAATGTATATTTTTTCCTCACTAGAGGTGAAACCAATTTGGGGGAGGGGGTGACATGAATTAGAAACACAGTGCAAGGAGAAAAAATTGAAATAGCCTCTCTCCCACTGTGCTGGTTCCTCCCCTCCCCCCCCCCAAATCTCAGTTCCTGTGGCTGCCTTCTTTTTCCTGAAGATTGTTTTAAATCACAGAACGAAGCCTAATATATCATTCCACCTATTTTATGCTACTCAGAGCGGCTATATATAAAGTTAATCTGCTCTCCAAGCTGGGTGAACTTTAAAATCTTGGCTGTCTGTCAGCATTCAAATGAAGTGACTTGCTCTGACCCTGAGCTATTATCACTTCCAAAATTGACTCTGGGGGGTGGATTTCCAGTCCAGCTGTAAAAGATTCTGACAGCTGTCAACTCCAGTGTTAGCAAAAACCTCAGCAAATGCAACCGGCCTCAAGCTTCTCTGTAAAGTTGTGTCTCCTTGTGAATTATGCAGGAAATTATTTGGCACTTCTCACAGTAGCTCTTTTGTGTTGTTGCTGTCAGAGGCCTAAAACAGGAAAGGAATGGCTCTTTCTTTCAGCAGCCATTTGGGCACTCAGGGCCATCAATAAAGAGCCTTGTGCTTAGTCGTCTCAGGTTGAAAAGCAATTCCATTTTCTTAAATGGGCATTTCCATTTTTTGGGCCTGAAGGTAGACCAAAAAGATAGATTGACTAGAAAATGTGTTTGATATGAAACCATTTCTCTCAAGATATATTCAGGTAGGTAGCTGTGTTGGTCTGAAGCAGTAGAACAAAGTTTGAGTCCAGTGGCACCTTTAAGACCAACAAAGTCTTATTCAAGGTATGAGCTTTCATGTGCATGCGCACTTCCTCAGATACATTGAAATGGAAGTTATCAATCCGTACATATAGGTAGAGGGTGAACAGCAAATTAGCATACAACATAATGAAGATGTTTTAACAGATGCAAGGACCAACCAGGAATAACAAGCTAAGTTTATATGGTCACCATTTGTTGGGATTTAATTCTGGGCGGAAACACAGTGAAGCAAATAAATATGTAAGCATTGGAGACTGATATGTAAATGTATCCTTCTTAATTATGGGATGTAAGGGCACTCAAGAGATTCAACCTTTTTATCTTGACTCAAGCCAAACCCAGGATGGCCAAACCCCACCTACCCTGCAGATCGTTTCATAAAAGAAGGACCCCAGGTGCTAGTAAATTGTTCCTCAGATCCCTGGTCCAGATAACTGCTGGTCAAAACTCTGGTTTCCTCAACAACAACAACAACAACAGTAATTAGCTGAGACCCTGTTGTTATACCCCATCCATCTCCTCTCAAGCTTTCCTGGTTGGTTCTCATATCTGTTAAAACATCTTCATTATGTTGTATGCTAATTTGCTGTTCACCCTCTACCTATATGTACGGACTGATAACTTCCATTTCAATGTATCTGAGGATGTCTGTGTGCACATGAAAGCTCATACCTTGAATCAAACTTTGTTAGTCTTAAAGGTGCCACTGGACTGAAACATTTCTCTCAAGGCTGCACTTTTTCTGAGGCTTTCCCAAGTGATTAAAATATGTTCTTAAGGCAACTCCCAGTGTGAGAATCCTACACAGCACTGAATGCTTAATTCACCTGAGGGATTTGAGCATGCAGACAATACTATGGTCACTGAATTTGTCTGGTGGTAAAGGGTTGTCATGTTCAAAAGGAACCAGGGAAGGAAAGTTGCTCAGGCTGTAGTGATGCAACTTTCCTGTTGCCTATGCTATGTGAGATTGTTGTGCCTTTGTGAAATGTCCTTCATTTTCCTGTGGGAGGGTCAGAGGATGTGTCCGTGTGTTTACAATTCTTCCTTGCTTCTTGAATGCAACATCAAAATACTATCTCGTGGGTATTGAATTATGCAGTGCAAAGTAGGGAGATATATGGAGTGTATCTACAACCTTACTTGGGATGACTGGAATATTTCCCCAGTTTACTTTTTCCTCAGTAGCAATTTGAGTGAGGGGGCTATGTGAAACCCTCCCTAAAAAGAATTCTACCATTTTCATGGTTCTTTACTCCTGACTGTAGCTACAGTTCCCTGCTCCCTCATTGCTGCTTCCATGAGGGGCTGTGGCCCAGTGGCGGAACCTGGACTTGGCATGCAGAAAGTCCCAGGTCCAGTCCCTGACATCTCCAGTTGAAAGGAGCTAGCAGTGGGTGATGTGAAAACCTCTTGCATAAAACCCTGGAGACCTGCTGCCAATCTGAATAGACAATACTGACTTTAATTGACCAAGCGTCTGATTCTGTATACGGAAGCTTTGTGTGTTCTTCCTCACAGCCAGTCATTGATCATGTACTGGATGTGATGAAGCCGCAGCCTGACATGGGCAGTCAGATTTGGTGAATGAAGTCCATTAGAAGGCAGGCAGTATTGTTCATCGGGATAATCCGAGGCAATCAGGAATCATTCTAATAATGTCTTTTCACAGCAATCCTCAAAAGTGTTACAAGGAGAGAGCCCTTTTGAAAGTAATGGATCTCTCCATGGACTTGGCCCCTTCTAACGCCACTATAAATCCTTTCTCAGGTTTAGATCAATATAACTTTTTTCTCTTTTCCCAAAGAATCATGGGAATGTCTTGATCTATTTTGCTTCAATTCTTTTTTTTTTTAGATTTATGGTTGATTCTGCAACCCAAATCTTGTGTCATTGTTTCTTGAATGACCCAACCTGTTTTTTAATAAATATTTTTATTGAGTTTTCACTATAATGCACAAACCTATAACATATCTTAAATAAACAATCCATCCAGTTAACACCCTATACAACAAAAATCTTCTCAACAGCAACAAGTCAAACAAGCATAATTACATTTTTCTTAAAGTTAATCACTAAATAGAGTAATTATCGAGTACATACTTCCATTAGTAATAATCTTTAAGATTCTCATAATCAACATTGTTCTCTTGAAACAAATACTGAAAAAAAATCCTATTTACTCTAATATACAATAGATTTCATGTTTCTATGATAATAAACGTAAGTCATAGGTTTTGAGTTTTTATGTTATTTTGATTTAATATTATTTTTATTTTATTTTTTATTATTATTATTTTAATATTTCATTGTCTACCTCCCAACTTAACTTCCAGTCTTCTACATTCATTTCTTAAGTATTTTCCATACATTAATTTCTAGTATATTGTACCACTATACTTGATCATTTTTCTATACAACATACATTCCCCAAAATTCACTATCACCTACCTAATTATTCATTCCAACCTTTGCTTAAGATTAATTTAACCCTCTTCCCAAAATTCACTATCACCTACCTAATTATTCATTCCAACGTTTATTTAAGATTAACTTAACTTAACCCTCTTCCATACCACTTAATTACCTTCTATCATTTTGCAATCTCCACCACCACCCTTTAATTTATAACCTCTCACACTCACCACTATAATCTGTAAACTAACAACACATTAATCCCACAATTTCAGAAGGAAAAAACCTCAACAAACAAAGAGGAAAAAACAAAACAAAAAATGTATAAACATTTTTATATTAATCAACTCAGTTCATTCCATTTTACATACTCCCAAAAAGAATAAGAAAAACGTTACATAAACATTATTACCCTCTCTTTTGCCTTTTAAATATATCTTAATTCTACCTAATTTATCCACTCCAACCTTTAATTAATGTTAATTTAACCCTCTTGCATACAGCTTAATTACCTTCTATAATTTTGCTATCTCCTTTTTACCACCACCCTTTAATTTATGTCCCCTCACACTTACCACTATAGTCTATAAGCTGACAATACATTAATCAGGTCAATTCATTCCATTTTACACACTTTCAACGGAGGGGGGGGAAATTAACATAATTTCCAAATATTTTAATTTGCCTTCTATGAATCTGTAACTTCCTTTTTCATAGTACCATGTCTATGTGATTTTTCCCTTTGTAGGAGTGATAGTTCATTTTCAATCTCTCCTCAATTGTTTTTGAAAAGTCGTACCTCCACACTATTTTGTCCTTTGTAGCCTTCCACACATATCTTTCTTGTCTTTTCCTTTTCCAGTTTTTTTTCTTTTTGGGAAGAAATCTTTGTACCTTTCTTTTTGTCTTCTCCCTCTTCGCATAACTCATTTTAGTTGTCTTCTTGTTTTGCCTTGTGGTCTGCAGACATAACATTTCTGTAGCTTCCTTTTCTTGCTGCCACACCAAAATCTCCTCTGATCTCTGTATACCTTGTTCCAAATTTTCAGTGCTCTCTATCTCCAGTTGAGGGTTATGTAAGTTTGCAAATGCTTGTTCAATACCCTTTTGTATTCCCTCCTTTAAGATCTTTAGAAACAGTTCTACTGACACTTCTCCCACCAACATATTTTCATCCATTTCCTCCTCCATGTCGGCTCCCCTTGTTAACACCATTTTAATCACTCTCTCTATTCACTTGGGCTCATTCAGGTTTCGGAATTATACCCTTCCATTGAACTCTCAAACTCTTTCAAAGAGAACAATCAATGTTGCCCCGAAGGCAAAAAAAAATTAGCACTCCACAGTTAATTCCTTCTCTTTCCATTCCTGGCCACTTTCATTTTACTCCAAGCAAAGGCAAACTACCTCTGAACATCGGGGCGTTTTGTTAAGCCTCTTTAAACTTGATATGTTAAAATTTGAAGCTTTCTTTTGTGCTGCTTGTAGCTGCAGTTGTAATCCATGTACATTAAGATAAAAAAAGGGAGGCAATGGTTATGAAGAACATGGCAACCACGCTCTCCCTCGCAGACCCCTTGTGCTTTAGGGTGCGAAGTGGGCACACCCCTGCATTTGCCAGTCATGGGAGGGGCCACAGCAAAGCCCCCTGCTCCAGATCTCTCTCCGGGAGATCTGTCAGGGCTCTCCCGGAAGCCGGGAGACCCCAAACGGAGCCTAAAGGAGTCGGGCGTCTCAGAGCGTTCCGAGCCCCACCCGTCACTGTGCCGTGCCGACCAGAAACTCATGAATGACCCAACCTGTTGATTGTATTGATTCACTGAGCCCCAGTGAGAAAGGTGGACTATAAATAATGTAGATAAATAAATAACCTTTAAAAATAGAGCAAAAAATTATTATAGATCCCCCCCATCACAGTTTAGCTTTACTTGTGGAGATGCAAATGTGGAACAGTTCCGCAAACACAGAAATACCGACATGAAACGATTCTGCTTTCTCCTGCTTCCATATATAATGGGACTGTAAACAACATTTTATTGGGAAGGAAGTCCCCCTTGCTTATTATTTCCATTAGAAGCTGTGGTTTGTAGATGGAAACATAACTCTGTATGTGCATTTACACACACAACTGAGCTGGATTGATCAGAGGGACATCTATTTTAGGTCTCAGCTCTAAGGTGCTGTTTAAAGGTACACATGGAGTACGCAGTGTGGTTCTTATCTATGAAAAGGAAGGACAGAGTTTGGGATTAAGCCTCAGGGATGGGCAAAGAAGGTGCTAGTCTCTGAGATTCCCCTTCTTTCCTTTGCAGGCAGGCTAAATGGTACATACCTGTATTAAAACATTGAAAGAAAAATCTATTATTCACACTTAAAATTTTGTTACATGAAATATCTGAATGCTTTCCTTTTTAGCATGAGTTTCAGAATGAGATCTGAATGAAGAAGAATGTCCTACATTTAATAACATTGGACAATGTTCTCCTTTATGCTTTTAGACTATCCAGCTACAATCTGGGTTGACATGCAGCACCGAGTTCCAGGGAGGCGTATCCATTGACATTTCAAATGCACTGGAATTTAGTCTTTGGTACAGAGAATTCAAATCCAATGTCAGAACCCGGTGAGATAACTCATTGTGTACACAACTAAGGGGAATGCATCAAATGATTTTGTTAATAAATAGTGTGGAAATCGTACTTGTTTAAGACATGCAGAAATGCACTGGGAATTGAGGACATTATTTCTTTTCTGTCTTCCTTA